TGCTGCAGGCCGTGACAGACGCGCGGTGTTCGCGTGTGCGAGAGTGTGACAGCTGGTGACGGCCAGGTGACAGCCCAAATAGGACCGTGTGACAGCCGGGCAGAGTGGGACAGGTCAGGATAGCTGTCAGCGGAGCAAGGCGCTGCTGCCAGGTGAAGCGGCGGGGTCATATGAGGTCGAAAAGTGAAGTAAAACATAACGTCGCTCCGATAAAGATGCAGCAGTTGTGTGCACTTCAATTAGGTAGGTATTTATTACGGAGACACATTATATGGCGTATTTTTCATCATAATTCAACCAGATTTATCGTGCGATTTTTATCTTCCTCATCTCTCTCTCTCTCTCTCTCTCTCTCTCTCTCTCTCTCTCTCTCTCTCTCTCTCTCTCTCTCTCTCTCTCTCTCTCTCTCTCTCTCTCTCTCTCTCTCTCTCTCTCTCTCTCTCTCGCTCTCTCTCTCTCTCTCTCTCTCTCTCCCTCTCTCTCGCTCTCTCTCTCTTTCTCACTCTGCCTCTTTTTCTTTTTCCTTCTATCTCGCTCCCTCTCTCATCACTATACTGCTCCCCATTCCCCACTAACGCAAAAACCACAACTGGCCGATGACATACTTTCGGCGGGCACTCGGTGCCACCGCCTGTTTTCTTTAAATCATCCCCTCGGCAGTGACGATTGATGGGCACACAAATTGTCCATGACATGTCGACAGTGGCCGCTTTCCCGGTCTGGGGGACACCCGATCCTCTCCCACCGGCCACCCCTCCCCGAATACGTGTCCCCTGGAGCGGCTCCTGCCTCCCAAACCGCGCGGACACATGTGGAAACGATCAAACCCCTGCCCCGTTCGTGTCCGGCTGCTTCGAGACACCCTACCGCCGCATTTCTGTCGGAGTCACCCCTCGTCCCTGACCACGAGGATACCACTTGAAACGTGTTTCACCGGGGAGCGCTCGCGGTGGCCAAACCGCTCCCCAGAACCATTTCGGAAAACCAGGGCGCGTTTAGTCGTGCTATCATACCGCCGTTGTCGAAACCGACGGGACGGGCCGACCGCGGGCCGCTAGATGTCGCGATTTGTGAAAGACAGTCGAGGCTCGACGTGTCGGTCTGCGCGTAGCATGCTATGCCCGGCGACTCAGCCGGACGCGGGTAGCGCGAGTCGCTCGACAAAAACCAGGCAGTGACGCCTGCGAGACGCTGCGGCGGCGCGACGGGACGAAGGACAGGCCAGCTGAGGTCACGCAAATGATGATCTCATCAGTCGCCGCCAGCCGGTGGCTGTGTCCGCGGAGCGCGGAGTCGGCGGACCGGGACATCGCGGCCGGAATTCGCTGCAGACTCCCGTAAACAGGCGCTGCAGGCTCCCGCGCGGACACGTCTGAGACGGCCGCTTATTATTAGACAGTAGACAGACGTAAAGAGAAGCCATCCGCGGAAGGGCACAATCTAGGACAAACGGCATTCACTGTAAAAATTTAAGAAGGGGATTCACTCAGATTTCAGAAAGTCGTGTTGTTGGACACGGGACAGGACTACGAGACTGACTACTGGACTACAAGAACGCCGGTCACTCAGCTTGATGAAATGGGTTATGTTTAGGCCCAAATGGTCATCCGAGCGGTTAGGAAAGAGGTCATTAAGCTGGTTCACTGTTTTGACATTTTGGGGACGTCGAACTGGCCCGGATTCTACACAACGCACGGGTTAAGTTGGCCGCGGACTATCGTATGTATGTCAGAGTAGCGGTAAAGGGGTGACGAGTACTTACCGGCTCGGCAACACCGGTCGAGCAGAGCAGAGCGAGCAGCGCGGACACTCTGCGAAAAAGGAGAACAATCAGAAACAAAACGCCAGAGCGAGACGCGCTGCATTCCGAAAGCAAATTTGCTTTACGATAAAACCAAACTGAAGGTTAAAAGAAAGTTATCTGGCCAGATCAATTGAAAGATAAAGCAATGTAACAATTTCCGGCTCAGCACAAACATCTGCAGTTCATGACGCTTATTACGACACATTTTAGTTACCGTTTTACAGCATACGTGCACACTGCAAAGTATATGGCGTATATGTCTTTTCATGATAGAGGGCTCTTGCATTTTTTATGTGTCGGCTCGACCCCGATTAAACAAGCCGGCCGGGTCTGGAAATTCCAGCACATATAAACAGTTCGGCGTGCGGAGGACAGTTTGGCTGTTGGCGCCGGGACTTCGGAGGACCAGACTACTGGCACTGACCATTCATGGACTACTCCAGTCTAGTCACAGTCTACTGATACCGGGTGACAATTTATATTGGTAGATAATGATTCACAGCTCATTTTACTGCTCTGCTCAAAAAGGCCGATCAATTGTTCTTTTATCTTTTGTGTTGGGTTGGCATATTATCCAAGAGATATCGAACGCATATAAACAGTTTCAGACCTAAAGACGGTTTAAACACCGGGATGCTCCAGGCATGTTTTTTGTGGAGGAAGCAAATTATCGCGATAGTTCCAGAACAAGACTGTTGTGCAGAGTGGGGTGACACACTGACATATAATACCTTTGTGGCTTTTAGGTCAAGGTCTATACTTATAGGGTCACATCTTTTTTGTGCTTTATTTCGAGCCCCAGTACCAAGATCCGCTGACACTTGGAGACGAAGCATTTATGGTTGTCTCAAGAGTGAACTATCTCAGTCAAATACCGTTGCACATGCCATGTCGTCATTTCTGAGAAGACATCAATTGGAGCGACCCACGCCGGAAACGGAGCTCACTTCGTTAATATACATAGGTGGGCAACCATAGAGAAATATAAATGGAAAAGAAATGCAAACTTTCTAGAAATAATCTACTCCTGCAAAGGACATTTTATATAAAGAAGGTCGTGATAAACGTTTCGATGAATGGTAGAAGGTTGAAAATTGTAAGCTTGCAGATATATTATATTCAAACCATCGAGTCATTCAATGACTACGACATCAAGTTCCCAAATGTTGCGTGGAATTGACGCTTATGATGAATTTTGGTTATATATGACATGGTTCAGCCGACTCCCCGACCGCTTTCTGCAGGTTTTATCCACCTAGCAGACAAAACCATTTACAGGTCTCTAGCTTCGAGCAATAGATACTTCAGGCTAAACTAAAATGAAGCTGCGTCTTTTTGTTGACTTATGACAGCTAAAAGGAAGTGACAAAAAAGTTTGTTTTAAAAAATGCTGAGTAGGTCAGTGATTAGATGTATAGTTGTTTCGGTTACTATAAAACTAAATTACAAACATCAGAAAACTAGCTGTTTTTTAGCAACTGAAAAACACAATAAATAAAATTATATATCGTACTTTGCCTTCAAAGGCGTTACATTCGATAGGATTCTTATCAAGACCTTATATCACAACAAACAGCATTGCAATCTCATTGCCGCACCATGACCTCTGATAACAAGGCCTGACCTTGATCTGAAATTATTACGGCGTCTCTACAAAAATGTAAGGATATTCATCCACTCAAATCTATTCACGGTCTGAGACTTATAATTGCTGGCATGCACGATCGATGGCAACACAAGTCAAATTCCTAAAACCAATACCAATTTGGTTCCTAAAACCAATTTGGTTTTAGGAATTAGACTTGTGTTGCCATCGATCGTGAATAAAACTAAATCATGTCTGATTATTTACATACTGGCATGCACCATTCTCGCTCAGTTATTTGGTTTCAATCTTTGGCTTTGACCAACATGGGAGCCGTATTAGATGCATTTCAAGCGAGGCATAAGTGAGCTATAACTAGACGAAACTACCACTTCCCTCAAAACTACGGTTTCGTCTTGGAAAATCGGCGCTTGAAGTCTTATGAAAACACACAACTACCCGGAAAATGGCCAGATGGTAAGCGAGGGGACTGAACTCTAACAAAAGCAAACACATCCGACGAGAATATGGGAGACGGATAGAAGGAACGCGGGAAAAGGGAGGAATGTGGTGATGGAAAACGGAGCAACGCGGCGCCGGACATGAACTTTGGCACTCTGCATTAGGTACTGTTCAGGTTAACAGAGCGCTGAATCTGGAGCATGGCCAGTAATTGCACGGTTAGTCATGAGCTGGAACTGAAACTGTGCTGCTTGAGATCACCGTTGTTCTTCATAAATGTATTTTAGATAGAGGATTTTGTCGTAGTACCTATTGGTATCACGTATTATTTGATAGCTACTTATAATTACTATTTATGTTTATAGTCTGCGACAGATCTAAATTCATGACGCTCTCGTTGCGTGCATGTTGCATTTTTAGGTAACACCACTCTTCATGATGATAATGATTGATCAATTGATCATCGTCGAACATAACAGCAGTTAACGTTGCGACGTGATGGCAGGCTGAAGCAAGCACATCTATTAAAAATAATGTCGCTCAGAAACCATCACGTTTGAACAGAAAAACGACAAAAAATGGGCATAATAACATCAACCATCATGGTGTGCCTCAAATACCATGAGCCCGTCTCATGCATCATGACCCGCTGTGGCCAGCACCCCTCCCCACCTGACCCTTTAGGTATCGCCCATCCCCCCGGACTGGCGCCGAGACTCACCCCAGCACTGCGGAGCGCAGTCGGACGACCGCCATGGCGTGCGGTCTGCTCTGGGCTGTCCGCTCCTCACTAGCACATGCCGCGGAAGCCGAGTCGGGCCGGGCCGAACTGTAGTGCGAGCGACACCGCCCTACACCCGCCGCCGGCGCGCACGCCCCAGTTCTGGTCGCCGCACGGCGCCGCGCCGCCACCGACGCGCCGGCACGCCCACATGAAAATAGTGCACCACAAAAACGGGAATACGTGCTAAATTTAGTCGCACATTCTGCCAAAGACATGAGGTTTTGCTGTAGAGGCTAATTCTCACCACATTGGTGCAGTTTGCTGAGGTGATGGTGAAAATTATGCGTGTAAGCCCCGCCCCCTGACGCCCGCTGGTGGCGGTGCGCGGGTGCGGGGCAGCGCGTCGGCCGTGCTCCAGTCGGGGGTCGGAGCGTCGGGAGGAGCGCGCGCCCACAGCCGCTCGGCCGGCCCGGAATGCTCCGATTCTGAGCAGTCCGCCGCAGCGATCACCATGGCTGGAGCGAGGAGGGCGGCCAGCCGCTGCCTGCTGCCCGCCGCGCTGGTTCTGTTCGCGCTCCTGACATCCTCCGACGCGGCGGTAAGTGATAACGGCACGAGGAAATTCCCAGGTTCCTTTTACGGTAAAGAACTTGTGTCCTTAGCCTGTTTATGTCCCCGGTACTAATTGCTTAGACGGTGTGGAAGCCTTCGACCATCAACTCCCTCAAACGGCACGCTCATTTGCTGTGTCATTTCTTAAAATATCTTTGTGTTTGATTCGTAAGCGATCCATTCTTATTACCATCTTTGCCTATGATATTTCATTTATGTTCAGTTTATTCGTCATTATCATCTATCAATTATAATTTTGCCTTTCCCTTCATTTGCACAATTTTTCCTTCGCAAATGTCGACCATGTTTAGTGAGCGCTGGGACGGCTCGCTCGGGCGGCGCTCGCGGTTTCTCGCACCCTGTTCGGAGCCGAAGTACCGCCGCTCTCAAGGCGCAGAGGCGGTGACGGGGGCGCCACCGTCGCTCCGAAGCCGACCCCGAACAACTGGGCACCCCACACCACCGCCATCTGTCGGTGCGACGGTGAAACTGACCCCCGGGTGGAGCGATATGGCGGCGACCGAACTCCGCGGCGGACTCGGCCGTGACGGAGGTCCTGGAATGAGATCACAGGCTTTTGGGGCATGTTTTCATTAATCACCAGTGTTGCGGATCGGATGAAGATGATGCCGCCCACACTGCCCCACACGACGCCGCTGAAGCGATCGCGATGAGCTCAGTGCACTCTTATTCAGTTGTTCGACAAATTGGTTAAACTTAGAAAAATGTCCTCCAAAGTGCATGAGTCGCCTGAAGACGCGTACTGGTACGCGATATCATCATCAGGCGACAAACCATTTGTCAGCCAAGTGACGGACGTGTTTTCCGCCGTCCGATATCGGCCGTCCCGGCAGCCGCCGTCGTATTGCCTGGGAGGGTAGACTGTGCCGCGCGACACGAGAGCGCTGCGGCACAGCATCGCCGCAAACAATGGGCTCAACTAGCGCTGCGTATCAAATTGCCCATGCGACAAAAACACCGTACCGAATACCGACAATAGAAGAACTATCACATGCAGTAACTTTTGGACTTTCGCAACAGCTTTCCAGTTTTTTTTTAGGTTGTGGATGATAAAATGAGCGGTTAGCTGGATCAAAATTATCTCTCTGTAACGCAGATGCGTTACATTTTTTCATCTTTCATGCTGAACTGCAAGCTGTGCCACAAGCTGAAACGCGGCCATCTGCGAGTACCGCACAGACACCGTCAGCCGGCTAAATCGGCTGTGATACCCTCTCTCCGTCCCAGCTGGCGTCCACACAGACGGCGCAGTCGGCTCTGACAAACAGGGGTCCTCTATAGATGACCACCCCACTTCATGAGAACCCGGATCTGAAGCCAACAAATAGCATACCGAAACGCGCCATTCTGCCAGCCTCGAGCCATTAATCAGTTTAGCCTTTGGAAAACAAGGCTCTGTCCCACGCTCGGCACCCCGCCAGAGAACAAGGAGAGGGGAGTGCAGACCGGCCCTGATTTGAACCAAAACAAGAAAGGGGAGCGGAGACCGACCCGGGTTGTACGAAAACAGGATGAAATGGAACTCGGTCGCCAACGACAAAATATAGGACATCTGGCCGGACCTGACTTCAAAACAAGGGGAGCAGAGGGCCAGGCCCGCCACCTGGCGCCTCAGGCGCCGTGAGCGCCGGCGGCGAATTCCACCCGGTCGCTGCGTGAAAGGGTGCGACTGCCATGGCCGGAGGGGAACCGAACTTTGTCAGCAAATCACGAACTTTCGAGGGCGGAGCCGAGTGCAGCTTCTGAGAATGGAGGACGGAGATTGGACAAGGTGATGCTGCCCGGCCCTCTGAAGTATGACGTCATCAGAAGTATAAGTTGATGAAACGGAACTGAAAAGCTCTCTCGGACGACGCATTCCGCGCTCTCTGGCGCTCTCTTGGACGACGGATCCCACGCCGCTCTTCGCTCTCGGCTCACATCTGACACCGTGGACAGCCCACGAGAGACCAGCGGCTGGCATCACGGCGCCGGCGGCGGCTCCGGCCGCCTGGCCGGGCGCTGGACGGACACGACCATCATGTCAGCGACTCCATCTCAAGTAAGGTCACGCGGTGAACACGGGTGCGCACCTAGTCCCTAAATCCTTCGAGTAACCCCCCCCCCCTCGTTACTGCTATGTGAGCCACATTATATTCCCTTTTTGGTGTCGTCCGCAATATTTTAGGCCATTCAGTTTAGGTAGTTCATTTTATTTTGGGGACATTCAGTCTAGGTAGCTTAATTTAACGGTCCGATTTCAGTCAATTATTTAACTATGGGCGTGGTGCGGGACGCGTGCCGACGTGGAGTGGACCCTCGTCCGGCGCCCGTGGTGATTAAGGCGGACGGAGGGGATTATGCACCGTGGGGAGTCGGGAAAGGGACGGGCGGCCGACGCGACTTTGTACCGCACCGCGCGGCGTGTGAGTTCCAATTGCTGGACGGCCTGGTCCCAGAACGCTTCGTAAAATTTAGCATGTAAAGGAATGAAAAGCGTTGTGTCAGGGAGAATGTAAATAAATGGGACTTGTAAATATCGTAACACGAGTGTGACAAGTGATGAAGGGCAGGGACCGGAGGATAGAACATAACAGGCCATATGCCAGCCACACAGTCGGGAAAGCGGTCGTTTTCAAGGTGTCTGGCTCGTCACAGTAATTTACAACGATCAGTTTTCTTTATCTGCTTATTTTACACAGTACACAATTACCAGGATTCTACACGCACAGTGGACCTAACCCAACTTGTCTCATACTGGTGGGTTCCACTGGTTGATTTCCGAGGGCTGCTAAGGCGGCTGACCTATTTCCTGCTATACCACATTCCAAGTTCCTTGACATGGCTCGTACCAGTGGATTCCTGGTAGGGGAAAGTGGGGTAAGACGGTCAAGGTAGGTAAGACGGGCACCCCCTCTGCAGACCAAACCAATAGCGCTACGAGCGAGAAAAATTAGGACCAGAATAGCCTTTCCCACTACACACCGCCATTGAAGTCTGGTGAATTTGTGTTCGGTCAATAATCTTTTATTTTGATTTCTTTAAAACACTCATTTCATTGAAAACATTCATAATGTATTGTGCAAGCTTTTGTGTGCAGCACTATAGAGTTAAAAACTGGCAATCACTTGTGGCACACTCATATGCCTCCAGTGTTCATTCACCGCGGATTTGCTTTGTCTGCATCAAATTGTCCACAGAGAAAAATCGTGCTGAACTTCTGACATTGAGTTTGGGGTAAGACGGGCAACTATGAATCCGATGGGTCTGTAATGGTAAAAATATTTTTGTTGCTGTAGGAAAAAAGAAGCATTTCTGATAAGAATATGTTCGATTCCGATACTCACAGACATGTTAGCAATATTCCTTCGGCACAGTTTATTCTCGAATAATGAATGTGAAAAACGGCTCTACATGGCTTCTGAACTAGGGCCTATATACGAGTATACGCCTTCTGCACGAATCTCGTATACTGCCATTTCCGAAGCACTTGAGACCAACGAGCGACTGTATCAATGCGGCTAATCTCGGGCATTTGCTGCGAGCTGTGCTGGTCGGTGAAAGAAGCTGGCCGTCTTGCCCTACCCATGTGACCGTCTTACCCCATGGAGTGGGGTAAGATGGGTTTTTGCAAGGTTTTGCAAAAATAGCTGCAGTTTATTTGTTGAGTCAGGTCTAAGTCTCATCTTCTGGCAAATGGAAGTAAAATGTCTGTAAAAGGTTTTCACTCAGTTTCCCGTTTCTATGATGTTTCTAACCGGCCGAAAAATGGCTCCAAAGTTAAGGTGCCCGTCTTACCCCACTTTCCCCTACTCTTTCCTTATCAAATTATCAAACGGCTAATTACAAAGATTCTACACGCACACTGGACCTAACCGAACGCATTTCACACTGGTGGGTTCCACTGGTTGCTTCCAAGTGCTGCTGAGGCGGCTAACCTATTTCCTACGTCACCATATTCCGAAATTCCTTGACATAGCCCGTACCAGTGGATTCCTGGTACTAATTCCTCATCAAATCATTCAACAGTTCGAATACAAAGATTCTGCAAGCATACTGGACCTAACCGAATTCGTTTTATACTGGTGGGTTCCACTGGTTGATTTCCAAGTGCTGCTGAGGCGGCTAACCTATTTCCCACGTCACCATATTCCGAAATTCCTTGACATAGCCCGTACCAGTGGATTCCTGGTACTAATTCCTTATCAAATCATTCAACAGTTCGAATACAAAGATTCTGCAAGCATACTGGACCTAACCGAACGCATTTCACACTGGTGGGTTCCACTGGTTGCTTCCAAGTGCTGCTGAGGCGGCTAACCTATTTCCCACGTCACCATATTCCGAAATTCCTTGACATAGCCCGTACCAGTGGATTCCTGGTACTAATTCCTCATCAAATCATTCAACAGTTCGAATACAAAGATTCTGCAAGCATACTGGACCTAACCGAATTCGTTTTATACTGGTGGGTTCCACTGGTTGATTTCCAAGTGCTGCTGAGGCGGCTAACCTATTTCCTACGTCACCATATTCCAAAGCTCCATGACATAGCCCGTGCCAGTGGATTCCTGGTACTATTTCCTCGTCAAATTATCCAACGGTTCGAATACAAGGACTGTGCACGCACATTGGACCTAACCGAACGCATTGTACACTGGTGGGTTCCACTGGTTGAATTCCATGTGCTGCTGAGGCGGCTAACCCATTTCCTACCTTACCATATCCCAAGTGTCCTTGACATAGCCCGTGCCAGTGGATTCCTGGTACTACCTCCTAAGCAATTCACCAATGTCCCGCACACAAGCACCACGCATATACAAAGTCGCACCTGTCCAATTGCATAATCATCTGATGAATAGGGATTGCGGAACCGGGGAGATAGATGATGCACGTCACGCCCCTGTGCGTGGAAAGTCCACCGACGCGGCTACGGGTTAGGAGGGAGATGAGAAGCGAGTGAAATGGAAGAAGACTGTACACGTAGAGGAATCGGATTTCCTGAATGAAGCTCAGCTCGGATAGACCCCACTTAAATAGTAGGCCTCGCTTGGGTAAGCCCTGGATACGTGCAATAAGTCGCGAAGTGAAGGGAAAGGATGAGAGCGAGTTGAGGATCGATTATTGAGGATGAGTGCATAGCCGACGAAGGCTAATCCGTTCGGTTGCCGGCGCGGGCCCCATAAAGCCGTGGCTATACGGAGACGATGCAGGCAGCCCGGAGGGACCTAGTGACCCCGCCCGGTTTTAAAAGATAGGTTAGGTCCGCTATCGGTCCATTGAGTGATCAGCGCAGGATGACATTCGATAAGCGACGTAGGTAGTTTCGGAGATGGTTAGGACCCCAGGCGTCCCAGCGAGGAGACGTATGCCGCCGGTTAAGTAATGTCCCGCGAAGAAACGTGTGATGCTGCAGGACGGGGGTGAACATTAAATACCAAAGCATGCGAGTCGGGTGATCGCGGTAAGTCGGTGCTGGCCACCCCGCTGTTAGTCGATTTACTCCGGCCGTGCAGCGGTCATTTCGGATAGGTCTGTGACGACAGCTTAACTACCAGCAACGGATAGATAGGGCTTCGGGCACCTATAACGCTGGTAGTCGTGGATTGTGTGAAGCCAACGGAGGCTAACCCGTTCGGTCGCCGGTGCTGTTTCAAAAGCCGTGGCTATACGGAGACGATGCAGGCAGCCCGGACGGACCTAGTTACCCAGCCCGGTTTCAAAGTTTAGATAAGCCCACCGCGGGCCGTGGTACGCTTAGTTTTCGTTTTTTTTTTATAGGCAATTTGGCATAACTGGTAGTCATGGATTCGTGTAAAGCCGACGAACGACTAATCCCTTTCGGTCGCCGGGGGCTGGCCCGAAAACCGCGGCTATACGGAGACGACGCAGGCAGCCCGGACGGACCTTAGTTACCCAGCCCCGGTCTCAAATTTCAAATAAGTCCCCCACGGAAACCGGACTACACAGTGTCCTGCGAGCCGTAGTCTCGGAACCGCTGGCCGAAGGACATTTATGTTTTTTGTGTAGGTAGTTCGACATGGCGATGGGATGGACCGCAATAAGTCACGTAAGGCGAGGGTCGAGTGCCGAAATCTGTGGTGGGTCGTATCTCTAATTGTGTAGCGTGAGCATTATGAAGCGTTTGTCTGATGTACGGAACATTGTGGTTATGAAGGGATAATGGTTAAATGAAATTGAAGGCCAATGACTCGATAACGACTTTGCGCGCGCCCTAGCACCACCGGGGGAAGTTAGGAAAAAGGGGAGGGACCGGAGATGGTCAGCTCTGGTAAATTACGAGGTATAAGTGGACGAATGGCAGGGTTATAAGGGGATGGATAAATGGACGAATGATTGATACATATATCTGGTGGGAGATGACCCTCAAGCTAGGAAGGGCGCTGTTGTTTGAGAGTGGGACCTTGGGTTATGTAGAGTTGAGTTCTTATTTCATTGTGATCAAGGTTATTATGTTATCATTTATTATCATCCCATTCCCTAACCCTGGCCTATGTGTTTCCGATGATTGATCGCCCCGGAAAGATAGAGTCAGAGTCGGAACGGGTTCGTGAAGGGGCTGGACAAAGAGATGGGCTTCTAGGAGCGCACCGACGGAGCGCTCTTGCTCTCTATCTCTACAAGAAGACACTGCCCGGTTAGCCCCGCAACGCCGCGAAACCCCGCTACATCTCTCCTGAGTCTTCATATACATCCAGGATTTGCCACGGGAACATAACTGCGCTGTAAATATGAACGGAAGAGGAAATACCCGCAAAAAATGACCGGCCCAAGACATAGTCCAGATGCCGGCGAGTGGTGCAGCGGACCTACCTATTTATCCAGACTAAATAGCTAAAAATGAGGTCACCCTCGGCTTTGCGACACGGAGCGCTCCTGTGTCGGTCGGTCTCATTCATCGCAATGTCACCAAGGCAGTTTGTCATCGTCTCAAGGACATCTGCTTGCACGCAAACAATTTGTTCGCTCCGCTTGCAGCTAAGTGGCGCTGCAATAGCAGCCATCTTCAGGCAGGCATCTCAGCAAGAGACTTTTGCAACGTCAGCATGCTAGGCCTATCAGAGTTGAGAGCGAGGAGCGAGAAAATGATCACTGCGATCATGTAGGCACTTCAGTGCACGTTTTCTGAAATATGGAGCGCACCAAGATACAAGATGCAAGCTTGCTCATACAAAACAAAATGAATACGGAAATCAACACCCAGTTTTCTACCTATTTTTCCCACGAGTTGCGACAAACTAATGCATCAAAAACTCGGTGATAACCGTCATCTCATGGCATCACCGCCGACATTTGGCGGCCTCGCCGAGAGGCGTTCCGTCCTGACTCCGGGAATGTTCCGCGGCCGTTTGCCGCGCTATGTCGGAGCGGCGGCGCGGCGCGGCGCAGTGCGGGCAGCCCAGTGTTTACACAGACGACGCCCAGGGCTGGCGGCGACCAGGACCGGCGGCTCAGCTCAGAGGACACGCCGGACGCGGCTATCTGGGCCTGCACGTGCGTCATGGCCGCCTCGTCAGGGCGTCACAGCGGGGCGTCACGGCGGGCCGTCACAGCGGGGCGTCACAGCGGGGCGTCAAATAACGGCCAGACGGCACGGGAGGGTGGCGCACCAGCAGCGTGACAGAACACGCAATATTGATTTATTTGCTATGTCAGTCTTCTACTTCATTTGTTAGGTAGCTGGATGTAAAAGGAACAAACGGATTAGCGATGAATTGTTCTATTATTTTCTGGTAAATAATAGAACGTAATAATAGAAGAAGAAGAAGAAGAAGAAGAAGAAGAAGAAGTAATAATAGAAGTAAAGCGGCCCTGGTGGCGCAGTTGGTTAAGGCGTCGACCCGCGGTGCGGGCGGTGCCGGATTCGGGTTCGATTCCCGGTTCCGCCCGTTCCGCGGGCGTCGTCCCCGGCTGTGTCACCAGGTGTGGGGTAGGCTCCCACTTCAGCCGTAGCCTGGGGGGTGGGGGAACGAGGGCCAGGAGGAGGAGGAGCCCTCCTGTAAATGGGCCACAAGTGCCCGTTGGAGGGAGGCCTGAATAAAAAAAAATCAATTTCATTTAAAGTTATATGCTAGGATAATGCGCTTTGTAAATATCCGTGTACTTGCAGTATCTGACCAAAATTATATGAACAACCTACACAAATTACTGATCTAATCTAACAACATCTCCTCCTCCTTCCGTTTCAGGCATGCAAGGGCTGCGTGGTGCAGAACTGCATCTGCGAGGGGGAGAAGGGCTATGTGGGCAACCCGGGCATCCCTGGCCTGCAGGGCTCGCAGGGCTTTCCGGGCGACATAGGCGTGGAGGGCCCTCCCGGCCCGTCCGGGATGAAGGGCTCGCGGGGCGACGAGGGAGCCCAGGGCACCAAGGGCGACCGAGGCAAGCCGGGAGTGGTCGGCTTCCCCGGAGCGCCCGGCATCTTGGTGAGTAGACGAGCCGCTCGGGATCAATGACATGTTTTATAAACTTATTTTAAAAAAAAAAACGCAATAAAGGGTGCGTCTGCGACGTAGTAATGAAATTTCAGTTATTCATGTAATCAATATTCATTGCAGTCCATCGTCATACAGTTGGACCGCACAACAATTTACATTGAATGTTATCACACTTCTCAACTGTATTATAATTACTTTCTTTCTTATAATTACTTTCCTACAGTCAACAACTCCCGAGGTCCGTGTCGTCACCGTGCAGCTCTGCGCTGCGTTTCACAGGGTCTTCCCGGAGACGTCGGCAGCCGCGGAGCCCTCGGCTTCCCGGGCTGTAACGGCACGGACGGCCAGCCGGGCCTGCCGGGTCTGCCTGGTCTGAGCGGACCCCGCGGTCAGCCAGGTCAGTCACGTGACCAATGGTCAGACCGGTCAGAGCAACGCGCCGGTGGTGATGCGGATCGGTTAGGACGACAGTATTGAGAAAGAAATCCTGAGGAATGCATATGTATTTGCTGGATATTTATCTCCACTCATAATGCCTGGATTCCTTTATACTTCTACTCACAAGTTTTTTTTTAACAGGTATAAGTGGCATTTCTTGTGTTAAAAAGGCGTTGCAATATTAAAATCGCAATTATCGTATTGCAGTACGTGGGAACTATCGACACTGCTCTTCCCTGTGCTGCACTCCCTGCTCATGACAGATCTCATGTTGATCTGTCCCGCTGACCACTCACCCCGCTCCTCCCGACAGGCCCGGACGGTCTGCCGGGCCCAAGAGGTGACCCGGGAGACGGCGGGGTGAACTCAGTGGGGGTGAAGGGAGACGCCGGGTCCACCGGTCGGCCCGGCATCGACGTGAGTACACCGCCGGCTGTCGGGGTAGGCCGGGCAGTATAGGGGAGAGTGGGGCAAAGCGGCCACCCTAACGTTTCTAACGATGCCGACGCTTGATTTTTAAACTTGGAAAGATTCTTTCTATACCAATGTGATCCCTATTAAATTGTCTTTTATTCCAATTGCGTTTCATTTCCAAAGGCGTTCACATAATGGGAGATATTGACAAAACTTTAAACCTATAGCATATTGGCCACTTTGCCCCATCCCTGAGGCAAAGCGGCCACTGGCGACTTCTCAAGTCCCGATATGAGAAACAGAATAGTTGCCTCATGCACGACTAGGGTATTTGATGGTGACAAGGTTTAAGGGAAGATGGATGTTTACTTTGTTATCTTCCCACCTATTGCTAAACAAAGAAAGAATTTTCTTGGAAAAACATTTAATTGCATAATTTGGTAACTCATGTAACCGAAAAGTGACCAAGATGAATGCATGACGACACATTTGAATGTAAATAATGTTTTTATCCAGATGGAAACAACTTATGGCCAATTGGGGGCTGGCCACTTTGCCCCGGCCGCTTTGCCCCGCGCTACCGTCCGAGACAAAAATATTCCAGCTCAGCTATTAGTGGGGTAAAAAGCATTAAAATTGGTAGAAGGCATGTACGATAACCACGCAATGCATGGACAAAAACGCTTATAAAAATTCCAAACGGTTATGGAATAAAATAACATTTAAAAATTGTAAACATAATTGGTAACCTGGCAAGAAATGCTTTTCCGTGTTTCACAGAACAATGGCGATGGGCCTGAAACCCCGGTCTGGCTCATTCGAACGACCGCAAAGAGAAGTATAATTGGAAATCATAAATTGGAACTGACGCCAGCTGTGGAGGGCTAAAACGATGGATGGCCGCTTTGCCCCGGGTGGCCGCTTTGCCCCGGGTGGCCGCTTTGCCCCACTCTCCCCTACTTAGTGGTACCCTATACGGCAGCACACCACCCCGCAGAGCAGACCGGACAGTAGACCTGCGGCGGATGTTGCACTCTCAAAACATGTCACGTCTTCAAAGAAACTACTTACTTGCCCATATGATTATTACTTTTAAAGGACTAGACTATTATCATTCGATTATGTGTGATCAAACGTTCACCCGGAATTGAATGTAGCTGGTTGTCATGGCGAATAGAACTTGGAGCGAACGTGAGTTTCTGAGAACATGAGCTCCTCCTGTCTGCCTACAGGGCCTGCCTGGTCTGCCGGGACCGAAGGGATACTTCGGATACCCCGGCGATCAGGGGGAGAGGGTAAGTGCACAGCTACATACCTACCTTGGTGTGATCTTGCAACAATCGGCAAGATCAATATAATCATCCCTTTTTGTTGCTCGTTATTATTTGGTTAATCAGCATGCTGCGGCGTAAACTCCTCTGATTTCATATATGTAGGCGCATAAACCTCTGTACAGAAGTCTATGGTAGGCGTGGTAACGAACAGAGAAGTTACATGATGTCCATTATCTTCTAATCCTGCTTCTCTTATTATCCCTACATTTGTTGCTTATCACGCTCATATTTTTTTCTTTAGATATTTGATGTATTTACAGACATTTAGATACTTGGTTGTATGTTTTGATTTTGACAAAAAAGATTATCTTCTGCCTATGTCTCCCGAAACCACTTATCATTTTATCTTTCTGACACGACGGTTGTCTGTAATTCCTCCTATTTCTGACACGAGTGCTGCCTGTTCCCCAGGGCTTCCCGGGCCCGCTGGGCCTCCCCGGCCCTAAGGGTGAGAGAGGTAATGAGAAGCGGGGTCCTCCAGGCCCCAAGGGTCAGCAAGGAGAGCCCGGACCCCCGGGACCCGGTTACAATGACAACACATTGGTCTCGCCGGAGGAGGCGTACGCTGGGTGAGACAAAAAGCAGCATGTCGCAACCAGGATCATGTGCTTGACTTCCTTTTTGTCTTGTGATGTGCTTATCTCATTTGGGGATCACCTCAAGAATGTAAAACTATACTTGCCGCGCTCAGTTGATTACAAAAAGCTTTAAGCAGCTAGCATGAGTGAATGCTAGGTAGCCCACACATGTTAAGAAGCTATTTGCTTCGTTTGCTTGCTTCTTGTCCCAACAGTTGTTTTGGTTTCAACAGGGGTCCACCCGGCTATATCGGAGCCAGGGGACAGCCGGGTGAAAAGGGCCCGGACGGCCCGCCGGGCCTGGACGGAGCTCGGGGCCTGCAGGGCCCTCCCGGCAACAAGGGAGTGCGAGGAATTCCCGGCGATATCGGACGGCCCGGCAAGCAAGGCCGCACCGGTCAGGCCGGCCCGTACGGAGAAAAGGGCTTCAAGGGTGCTCCCGGCTACCAGGGTCGGGACGGCGCGCCGGGGTTGGACGGGCCGCTCGGCGAGCCCGGCCAGCCCGGCCAGCCGGGACCCCAGGGACGGATCGGACCCAAGGGCGAATACGACCCGGTCATCGCCCAGTCGATGAAGGGCTCCCGCGGCGGTCAGGGCGACCCCGGTCTGGTGGGTCCTAAGGGTGACCCGGGTCTGCCGGGTCGGCCCGGTCTGCTCGGTCAGCCGGGCTACTCGGGCGCGCCGGGCCCGGACGGACCGCCCGGCCGGCGCGGCCGGCCCGGCCTGGTCATCCCCGGCGAGCCGGGCGAGGACGGCCTGTCGGGCCCGCCGGGCCCGGCCGGACCCACCGGGCCGCTCGGAGAGGCCGGCTTCCCGGGCCAGCCCGGCTCGCCCGGTGAGACGGTGGTCGGCCCGATGGGACGGGACGGCATCCCCGGCCGGCCGGCGCTGGACGGACTTCCCGGAGACAGAGGAGATCCCGGATTCCCAGGTCAGTGCCGCTGGTGACAGCCCAATAATTGTAAACTCTGAAATCTGAATTATGCAGAGCAAGCGATAAAATGTGATATGAATGAGAATATGTATACTGTATAGCGTTGATCAGCGAATTTGCCTTAGATGACTGCGTACTTTCTGGTGGGACTGGATAATATACTTCCTGACGTTTGCTTGACAGACTGAGCGAAAAAAGAGCAACGGTCAAGGATGATAATGCATCAATGCACATGACAAACTAGGGTGAACATAGCTATCAAGTATTTAACTCCCTTTTGTGTACGATCCTCAGGTCGGAAGGGCCAGCCGGGTATCGGAGTGGCCAAGACTGGACCGAAAGGCGAGCCTGGTCGGCCCGGAGTGCCCGGAATTCCGGGACAGCCCGGACTAGACGGCAACCCCGGACTGCCCGGACTGAAAGGATTGCCCGGAGACGACTGTCTGCCGCAGACCTGTGAGTCGAACAGTATACATTCAAAACAGTTCCAGGTGTTTAACGAGTGCGTCAGCACGGCGTCTGACTGCCTGGAACCGGCTGCTTGAACGGCCGCGATAAGCGGGAGCCTTGCGGCACAGCATACCTTCAGGCGTGTACGGTAGTGACATCTAGCGGCAGGAACGCTATTAGGCTCTTCGCTCGCCTGACGCTCAATGAAGCTCCTTTGTCGGGCTGTTTGTGACACTTTCTTATCGATTTGTCAGAGCCTGTCTTGACAAAGCAGCCTGTGGAGAACAATAACAGTAGATAAAACAATCAAATTGACTTATTTTGGGATGTTAAGTCGGACTCGATTGAACCAAATTATACTGTGGTTGCAGCTTGCCGTTGCGGTAATGGCAAGTGATGGACCATGTTGACTGTTAGCCAATGCCTACCTAATGAAATTTGGTGACGTTTACCCTCCCCCTCCCGCAGTCTCGCCGTGTCGGAAGGGTGACATGGGCGACCGCGGTCGGCCGGGTCTGGTCGGCGTCCAGGGCCCGCTGGGACCCGTGGGCCCGCCTGGTCTGCCCGGCAGACCCGGTCTGGCCGGCCTGCAGGGATTCCCGGGTTTGGATGGTCTGCCCGGTGCAGCAGGTGAGAGAATGGTAGTGCAACACTAGTATAAACGCAGCGCGCAGATGGCTATCATTGATGGAATACATGTGAATCGTATCACGAAACAACAGATAAATAACTGCACTCTCCATCCCATTTCAATATCAAGGTTTCCATTCAAATATCACCTTCAATAGCGGAGCCATTGAGAAAAACATGAAAGGCAACAAATTCAATTGCAGCGAGCTGCAATGCAACGTTTTCACGTTGTTATTCCAGACGAAAGATACGGCAGTCGGTAGCCAAAGCAGAGCAACTCCCCGCCCCTCCCGTTCACCCGCCGCCATTGTCGCAGGCCTGGCCGGTCGGCCCGGAGCGCCGGGAGCGTCGGGTCGGGTCATCTACCCGCCGAGCGGGGCTCTGAAGGGTCAGAAGGGCGAGGCTGGCCGGCCCGGCGATGATGGTCTGCCCGGGACGGAAGGTCGCCCGGGACCGGAGGGGACCCCGGGACTGCCCGGCTTCGACGGACTCAAAGGATTCCCGGTGAGCGCAGCTAAGGAGATATAGAGAAGGGTGTGGTAATTATCTGTGTAACAACTTTCTGATTTTGCCCCAATTTGATTGGTTTTAGTACACCTACATCTTGATGTTATGTCTAAGAATATGAATAAGCATTATAAACACAAGTTTGCTGATTATTAAAAATTTCTTTTTTAATGCAATAACAATGAAATATTAATTGCTTAGCATCGTATTTGAGACTGATGATGATGTTCTGAATTCTTCCTTTTCACGCTTCAAAGCCGAGGATATGTAGGTAAGGTGATAACCATTTATTGGCAAAGGCATGGTATTAATTACTGGAGATAAAAGTATGACATACTTCAGGTAATTAGTATCAGCTCGAACGTGTGTGACAGTAAACCATTTATTGGCAAAGGCAGGGTATTAATTAGTGGAGATAAAAGTATGACATACTATAGGTAATTGTGTATCAGCTCGAACGTGTGTGACAGTAAATGTCAGTCAATCGCTGATGACTCAGACTGACCCACTGCCTCCCCTCAGGGTAAACACGGCGGTGAACCAGACTAACCCATTTGTCGGCCCGTGTTAACCCCCCGGCTTCCCTCAGGGTGAATACGGTGACCAGGGCCCCGCCGGTCGAGACGGGCTGGACGGCGCGCCCGGACGGCCAGGACTGGACGCCGACGAGAGTCTGCTGCCCTCGCTCAAGGGCGACAAGGGCTTCGAGGGATTCAGGTGAGGTCTGGTCATATTGAATTGCAGAAGGATCGACAATGGGTCGTAACGTACACTTTTGCATTGGTGTGTGCCAAACCGTCACCTTTACAGCGTATTTCTATGAATTTATCTGACTGCCAATGTTGTAATCACCCGCGTTATTTACAGAGGAGCGATCGGAGAGAGCGGCGAGCCGGGACCACCAGGAGAGCCGGGAGATGTGAACCAGAACCTGGTGCTTGGCGACTCGGGACCGCCCGGAGACACCGGACTGCAGGGTACGGAGTACAGGCGTCCGGTGTGTGTGTGTGTTGTGTGGTCTCGTGACTCCAGGGTACGGATTACACTGTCTGATATGTGGTGTGGGGCGGGCTGGAATCCGACCACTGAGCACCTCTGATCTTGAGCATATGATTTTATACCACTGAAGCTAGATTTTTCGTGCCTCAGCATTAGAAAATGTTATGCAAACGTTATCAGTGTAAAACTGATAATCATATGCGCCCTCTAACCCTCTACTATGGTCTACAGGTCTGCCCGGTCTGCCGGGTCTCAAGGGATTCGAGGGCGAGCCTGGCGTGCCTGGTCAGCGAGGGATGCCCGGCTTCCCGGGCAGCTCACAGCGCGGTGAACAGGGCATCAAGGGCTATCCGGGCATGCCCGGAGACCGGGGCCCTGCCGGAGCTCCCGGCCTGCCAGGGGCGCCCGGACTCGATGGGTTGCGGGTGAGTCAAAGCGGTTAAAAGTGCGGGTGCGTCGAAGGGAGAGCAGTGAACTAAGGATGTTGTGGACGAACTAAGAAATGACTATATCGAGAGACGGGGAAATATGAGTGGAACGTTGAGTTGAGAGTTGAGAGGCGAGCGCGACATGTTTCTGTGAGTTTGTGGATTTAAGGCCAGGTGATGGAAATGTTACAGTGTTTACCGCATCGAAAGTTAGTAAAGAAGGAAATACCAGTAAAGGGGTTCTAATTGATTCATCTGCTTCGATAGGGAGACGAATGAAACTTGCATAACTTGCTATGGGCTGTGCCTTGGCGCTGATTGTGATTATCCTCCTCTGCTCGCAGGGCCTGGACGGCAGGAAGGGAGCGCAGGGTGACGACGGCCGGCCGATCCTTCCCGGCCGTCCCGGCGAGCCCGGTCTGCCCGGTCTGCCCGGAGAGCCCGGTCTGCGGGGTCTGGACGGTCTGCCGGGCCCGCCGGGACCGCGCGGGCCCACCGGTCAGGACGGAGAGAAGGGAGCGCCCGGCTTCAGCGGGCGGCCCGGCCGACCGGTGAGAACCTACACATGTCGACTAGTGGTATCAGAATCACTGGAGCGGCCTCGCTGACTATGCTGTACATCACTTTGCTGCGAATATTTCTGGAAGTTAACGCCCAGCAAAACATTACAAGGTGCTGCTAAAATGTAGATTTCATAAACATTGTTTATATTGTGTTGTATCGCAGCGGAGCTAGCATAAACCATAAAATACGACTTTATCACTTGTCCATTTCACTGGCATCAGTGCGGAGCTGATGATACTTTCCATGCGTCGTGTATTCATAAATACGTCAAGCCTACCCGTCTGACAGCCTCTCCCGCTCTCAGGGACCGCGTGGCCCGCCCGGAGACAGCGTGCCCGGTCGGCCCGGCTTCCCCGGCCTCAAGGGCGAACGGGGCCTGCCGGGCATGTTCGGCTCCCCCGGCCTCCCCGGCAATGACGGCGTGCCCGGCGGCCCCGGCATGAAGGGTCTGCCAGGAGACTTTGGCCTGGACGGGCTGCGCGGAATGGACGGGGAGCCGGGCAGGTTTGGACAACCGGGCCGGCCCGGAACGCCCGGAAGGCCCGGCCTCGACGGATTCAAGGGAGAGAGAGGAGACGATATTTTGCAGCCAGGTGAGAGAGGGGCGAAGAGAGAGAGAGAGAGAGAGAGAGAGAGAGAGAGAGAGAGAGAGAGAGAGAGAGAGAGAGAGGGAGAAAGAGAAATAGGAAAAGCAAAAGCACAAACGAACTTATCATGCTCACCCTTCTTGCTTGTCACTCTTGTGTTGATCTGATTGATCAAATTGTATGTTTCCTTTAGTTCTCACTCCTGCTACTTCTGTCAATATCTGGCCGGCCGTTTCTCAGGTCCTGCCGGAGAGAAGGGTGCCGACGGCCGACCCGGCTACCCAGGACCTCCCGGCGACCGCGGAGAGGAGGGCAAGGCCGGTGCGCCCGGCCCGGACGGCCTGCCCGGCGAGCAGGGCCGGCGCGGCGACTACGGTCCGCCGGGCGTGGCCGGGCCGCCGGGAGACGACTCGCCGCGCGGTCTGAAGGGTGACGCCGGTCCGCCGGGCCTGGACGGCCTGCCCGGCCGGCCGGGGCTCACAGGGCCGGTCGGCGACCCCGGCCAGCGCGGCGAGCCCGGAGAGGGCGTGCCAGGTCTGCCCGGAGAGGCCGGCCAGCCCGGCGACCAGGGCCGGCCCGGAGGATTTGGAGCGCCTGGACTGCCGGTCAGTGGAGGCGGGGGGAGGGACTGGGAGTGCCAATGCAGGGGCAGCGACACGAACATAATAAAAAAAAATGGGAAGACAGTGGGTCGAATAAGTTTGCACGCACGCTGTAGCATGCAGAAGTGCAGTTGCCAAAATGGCCTGAATATTTTTGAAAAGAGATTGCAGCTGACCATTTAAATTACATAGAAACTAGATTTGCCTTTGATCTCGCATTTTGCTCTTTCAGACCCTCCGCTTCAGCGTAATACTGACATTGTAAGCTATGTAGGGGTTAATAACACACCCGCCCACTTGGATAACTTCCGCATTAGTTTCCCATTATGAACAGTCTCTCCATGTTATAACCCCTCGCCACTCTTCCCCAGGGCGAGCCGGGAGACTACGGACTGCCCGGCCCGAAGGGGTCGCTGGGGGAGGTCGGATTCCCCGGCCAGCCAGGCAGGGCCGGTCGGCCTGGCCTCGACGGCTTCAAGGGAGAGCGGGGAGACGCTGGCGACTTCGGCGCCGACGGTGCCGTCGGCCTGCCCGGCATGAGCGGAGAACCGGGAAGGATGGGACGCATGGGTAAGTGTTGCCGAAATTATTTACTTGAGAAATAAAAGAAAAACAAACTTAACAACTGACTAAACTTAGTTGTACCTGTATTTTCGTTCGTAGTAAAGTGAATGAAAGGTTAAGTTAACCCAACAAAATAAATGCAGTTTTTCAATTAGTGACAGGGCAAATTTCCTCACTACAAATTCCAGCAGAATATCTGAATGTTACTTGATCATTTCATTATTGCATCCATCACTGAGCGCACCCGTCTGTCTCAGGAATGCCTGGTGAGCCCGGTCCGGTTGGTGCCATCGGTCCGACCGGTACACCGGGCCGGCCGGGATCAGTCGGGGACCTGGGCGCTCCCGGCTTCCCGGGCCTGGCCGGCTTCCAGGGCGACCAGGGTCCGCCGGGCCCCGCCGGCGGTGTAGGTCAGAGCGGACCGCCGGGCTCCGCCGGGCCGGCCGGACTGCCCGGCGCCATCGGCGAGCCCGGCGCGTCCGGACCGGAGGGCAGCCCCGGCCTGCCGGGCGCGCCCGGAATGCCCGGAGACCCGGGCCCGGCCGGACCGCGCGGAGCGATCGTGGCTGGCGAGCGCGGGGAGCAGGGTCGAGCCGGCATTGACGGCGGTCCCGGCGTGCCCGGCGGTCCGGGCCAGAAGGGGGCGCCGGGCGAGTACGGTCCGTCCGGGCTGCCGGGCAGGGACGGACCGCCCGGCGGCACGGTGCCCGGTCAGAAGGGCGGGCCGGGCAGTCCCGGACAGCCCGGCCTGCAGGGCCGCCGCGGACTGGACGGCCTGCCCGGAGAGCCCGGCAAGGCTGGAGCCGACGGGCTCCCGGGCCTGCCCGGAGACGACGGATACGACGGCTTCCCCGGAGCAGTGTGAGTATGGTGCATCCCACTTCCGAACTTTGAACAGGTAATGGCTCTGAGAGCTTTTTTAAATCAAATTATGCGCAATTTGATAAAAATATTTCGTCTTATAAGCTTTTCGTTATAGTACTTTCCTCATTAATAGCTTTGATGAAAAATAATTGATGAATTATCTAATCATCTCAGACTGTGCACAGTGCAATAACTGACAATGTATGGGGTTCGTGTTGCAGGGGTCTGCGCGGTGACCGTGGCCGGCCCGGTCCGTCGGGTCGCGATGGTCTGCCCGGAGACAAGGGAGAGCGCGGGCTGGCCGGCCGGCCTGGTCTGGACGGTTTGCCAGGGCTGGACGGCCTGTCCGGCTTCCCTGGCCAGGCCGGTCCGCCGGGCTTCGCCGGACAGCCGGGACCGAAGGGTCTGCCCGGTGACCTGGCCTCGTTCGGCCTGAAGGGTCTGCCGGGCGATCCCGGCCCCCCTGGCCTCGCCGGCTTCCGCGGCAGCCCGGGACGCATGGGCAAACCGGGCCCGGACGGCTTCCCTGGCTTGGACGGAGACGCGGGCCGCGACGGCGCCAGGGGCCGGCCGGGCCTGCCCGGCGCCAAGGGCATGATGGGGGTGCAGGGCCTGGACGGCTTCCCGGGTCCATCGGGACGCGTGGGCCGGCCGGGCCTGCCGGGAGAGCCGGCGCGCGCCGGGCCCCCGCCGCGGCCGCGTGGCTTCCACTTCACCCGGCACAGCCAGACGACGTCGCTGCCGCGCTGTCCGCCCGGCTCAGTCCGACTCTGGGACGGCTTCTCGCTGCTGCATGTCACCGGAAACTCCAAGGCCCACGGCGCCGACCTCGGTTAGTAGCCAGTACCGGCCAGCGACACAGCACAGGCCATACAACAGCAGTTTCATGAACGAACGTTAGTCACCGGTAGCGCTTCATAAGTATTCGAAATCGAATGATTTTTTGTGTTGATTCTATATGCATAAGCTCTTGTACCTTGGTAGTAAGAGATCATACTTTTATCGTGCCTATAGGCTGAGGTCAACCAGCTTACACATCGTCCAGAACTTATCTATTTCATCTTCAAACTCCTTTTATGAAAACAAATTGCTGAAAACACGACGAGAATCTGTATTCTCTATCGAGCGTAGGGAGGTGACGTGCTTTCTCCTCCACCAGGCACACCTGGCTCGTGCATGCGCAAGTTCTCCACGATGCCATACCTGTTCTGCAACATCAACAACCAGTGCGAGTACGCCCAGCGCAACGACTACAGCTACTGGCTGAGCACGCCGGAGCCCATGCCCATGATGATGACGCCCATCCGAGGTCGAGACATCCAGTCCTACATCTCCAGGTGGGAAACCGAGGCGATCGCTGTGCTTCTTATTCCGTGACTCGTCAGGCTGTGCCGCACTACATACCTGTCTGGTAGGCTGCGCCGCAGTGCACACCTGTCCTGTTAGGCTGTGCCGCACTACATGCCTGTCCTGGTAGGCTATTCCGCAGTGCACATCAGTCCTGGTAGGCTGCGCCGCAGCACAAGTCTGTCCTGGTAGGCTGTGCCGCAGTGGACTTCTGTCCTGGTAGGCTGTTCCGCACTACAAGTCTGCCCTGGTAGGCTGTGCCGCAATGCACATCTGTCCTGGTAGGCTATACAACAGCTCGCATCATCGCGCCGGTGAGAAAAGTTGTGTCTGTTTCAGATGTACGGTGTGCTAGCCCGCGTCCGTGTTTCAACTATGTAGGGTAGGGTGGGGTAATTTGAACATGTGGATTGTGGGGCAATTTGAACATAGTGTGAAAAACTCAAAATTACGGAAAATCCATAAACGGCATGACAATAAGACCAATGAGGGAAATAATCGTAACTAAAAGGGCTATCATATGAACAGGGTTTAAAGTTTCAGGGAATGAAGATGTTGACGCACACTGTAAAAAATCAATTTCGAAAGTAAAAACGCCTAAAAGCAGGTCATTGCAACTACATTGCAGCGCAAATTCTTGCATTGCTAGCGCCTAATACGCAACGGCACGGCTTTTGTTGTACAATGACCTGATCAGTGCCTTCAATCCAAGAAATTTGCTTTTGAAACCTGTTTTTAAATATGGCAAAGTAACTTTAACCCGCGCCGTGCTGGGGGGGGGCGTTTTTACGCCCCCCCTCAGGTTTTTCGCGAATATCTCAAAAACGGCGGCGCGCAGCGCCGCCGTTTTTGGTACACGTGTTCCTACATCATTTCCGCACATGTTGTGAAAATTTCAGACCTAGGCCGTTCAAGGTCAGGTCACCAGGTCACGTCAAGTGACCTTACCTCAGAAAAAGTTCAAAGGCTCGCTATAGCTACACCGACTGAACGATCACTTTGAAACTTTCAGCGATTGATATGAGTAACAGTATGTATAAAATGTATATCTCGGATTTTTGATATCTGTGACCTAAGGTCAGGTCAATTTTGCGACCTCTCCATTATAAGTCAATGGGAGAAAATTGAAATGCGCCTCTTTTGGACGAATATCGTTCAAAACGCTCTCAAACATCGGTTCATAGGTAAACATGACACACTGAATAGGAAAAATGCACCTGTGACCCCTCTGTGTGCCCCTGAGGTCATCTCAGGTCATGAACGGTCGCCAGCAGTTTTTTGGCTATAACTTTTGATAGAGACGTGCTAGAGCGGTGAAAACACGTCAGATGTGTTCAGCTCGACGATACGGATCGACTGATATGCAACATGACCCTTTTCGGTCAGGTCATGACCTTGACCTGAGGTCAAATTTTCAAAATGACCTTTCAAGGTCAACAAATAGTTCATTCGACGCGTCTCGACGAGAGGAACACGATGCTGGCAAAAGTAATGTCGTGGCGCTTATGAGTCAAAAGTTATTGACGAAAAAACGTTTTTCGTAAAAACGGCTATTTTTGGAGTTTTTGCCCTCTGGAGGCTAAACCGTTGACCTGAGGTCAAATCTGAGAACATTATTCAGAAAGGTCTGTAAAAGGGCTATCGAATGCGCTTTTCCGCGGCGCTGTAGCTCTATCGGTTCCCGAGATAGCCATTGGCAGTTTCCAAAATGTTGAAATAGTCAACATTTTACCTTTGGTGACCTCTGGTGACCTGACCTTTGACCTGACCCAAAAAATGACCGAAGTGTTTTCGTCCTTATTTTTGACGCTCTTTCGATTGCCGCTTACCGCGTGTCGCTACGTGGCCCAGGAGCCGAGTTAGACGGGGGGCGTGAAAACGCCCCCCCCCCCCCAGCACTCGGCGGAAAGTTCAGGCCACCAGCACGGCGCGGGTTAAGCGTGGGGTAATTTGAACATAGTGTGAGATTTTCAATGAAGACAGGGATAGCTCCGAAAAAACAACGCTCCCAGTTTTTTTTGCCAATATTTTCGACCCAAAGCAGTAGCAGATTAGTGATGCCAGTTTTAATAAAATTTACGTCTAATACCGTCTAATGTCCGGCATTTTCGTTGAGATTTCCGTCTAAAAATGTTAAAGTCAGCCATTTGTCCAAATATGTCCGAAAATTACACATTAATCAACATTCAAAACTTTCATTTAAATTGTTTATAATGTAATTTTACCAGCCGAAAAAAGTGTTCATTATATTGATAGCTTGACAAGCTTTCCATTCCCCAATAAATGTTATGCACGATTACTTTATAAAAAGCACTGAAGTGTAGCAAGCCATCGTCCAATGTTGTCCAGTCTGTTACCTTTGTCCAACCAATTCTGAATTGGACATTGGACATAATCAGAACTCCAAATGTCCTGGTTTCGATTGGCACCACTATAACAGATGCAGTAAGGTTGGGAGAGTTTTTATCTAACAAAAATGATAGACGTTCTGTTAATTGAAGAGAGGCAAATTCTGTCAACTGACTGGTGTGCAGCGTGCAGACAGTGATACTCTGCAACTGTTATTTTTGTTGTTGTGCTGATTTTTCAAGTGAAGGTATGTTTAGAATTGTTCTGCCTATTTGTTTATGAGTCAAACAGCATCGGTGCTGGCGAGACTATCGTTTTTATGACAGGTAAAGGCAGTATGTTCAAATTACCCCACGGTGGGGCAATTTGAACACGCCGTGACTTGGTGGAGAAGTGAGGCTATGCTATTCAAGGTATGCTCGGCTCGTCCAAAAATGAGGCTTGCATGGTGAAAGCAAGTGACACTTGCGCTACTGAAGCAGTTTTTCTTCATCCAGGGATGAGCTGGAATTTGGTACAACGGTGAAGCCTTAAAAATATGTTCAAATTACCCCACACTACCCTATGCAGTGTGGTGACTATGTCTGTTTCTCTGTCTGTGTTTCAGGTGCTCGGTGTGCGAGTCACAGACCATGGTGATCGCCATCCATAGTCAGAGCATGGATGTCCCCGAGTGTCCAGAGGAATGGGAGAGCATGTGGATCGGATACTCGTTCCTTATGGTAAGAGGACAATCACTCAGCAATTTTCCTCCAGTAAAGAACAGCCTTAACTGATGAGAAAATGGTAGATCATATATTTTTGGAAACAATGCAGAGACATATATGAAGGATCAATCGTCAATTCTTCAATTAGCCACATTACGCTCAGCTGGGCCTCACCAATATGATTTCTCGTCTCTAGCACATACACACTTTCAAGACGGCGGCCTGAGTGACTCTGTTGATCCGCATGTGACCTCCCCGCTCCCTCCCCAGCACACTGACGCCGGGGCCGAGGGCGGCGGCCAGTCACTGGTCTCCCCGGGCTCCTGTCTGGAGGACTTCCGACCGACTCCGTTCATCGAGTGTCACGGCCACGGCCGGTGCAACTACTTCACCACCGCCTTCTCCTACTGGCTGGCGACCGTCGACGACTTCCAGCAGTTCCGCAAGCCCGAACAGCAGACGCTCAAGGCCGGTAACCTGCGCTCCCGGGTGTCGCGGTGTGCCGTGTGCCGTCGCCGGCAGCCGCCGGACAGCCGCCAGCCGCCGCCGGACAGCCGTCAGCCGCCCTTCGTGTTCCCAGGAGCCGTGTAAGCGGTGGCGCGCTGGTCCCGCCGCCGACCAACGCTTCAGCTTGTTGTGATATAATCCGAGCGAACGCGCCCGGCGGCGCAGGGTCGCTAACGTCAGCGGTGATCGAGAAACGATGTCAAAGTTGGGCAAGGAACAGATGTGACGGTGTCGAGCTCTGGCCGGCGCCGCGACCGGAGCGACTCTTCGGCGCCGTGTGGGATGGGTGATGTTCGCTGATGTTCGCTGATGTTTGCTGCTGTCAGAGAGGCGCGTTCGTCGCCTGCTGTCACTGCCGCCGCCGGCCCGGACGCGAGACTGTTCCGACCTCAGAGTAGAGCCATGTCGTTGCCGTTTGCCGGACTAGCTACCACTGCCACAGAGAGACCGTTCATTGTTGGTCCGTTCGCGTACCGCGGGCCGTCGGAAACCGTCGTCGGAAGCTGAGAGAATGTCGTGCGATGTCAGGTCGGCTTGACGGGCGAGTCACTCGCCCGCGGCCTCGCTGAATCCAATTGGTGCTCGTCTAGTCTTGGTGGATACTGTGCTACTCATAAGGTGAACTCCATGTGAGCCAAGACGCGACGTAGGAAGTGTAGAGCTTATGCTATGCTGTAAGGAGACTAGCATGTTCAGATCGGTCGGATATCCTAATACAACGAACGGCTTACACATCTAGCTTGATTTGATTCGTGTTCCGAAAGGATATCGTGGTAGATGACGAAAAGATTCTAGGAGGAGCCCAATAGATGCGAGCGATAATTTTTTTTTTTTTTTCACGATGGCGTTAACGTACGAGTTCTCTTACGCTTTAGTAGGCGCTTAACAACATATAAACTGCCACATTTGACAACACAAGACTGAGTAAAGGCATATAACTAGGATGTATTTCGGTTGGTGACTGGCGTGGTCAGCCCGGTAGCCGTGTCGGGCTTTCAACTGTCATTGGAGGTCAAGGTCGTGACGTCAGTTGCCGCTCCCCCTCCCCCCCCCCCCAGGCCGTCTCCGGGTTCACAGGGAGCTGATGACAAGGATGACATACATATTTATTCATTCATTTTTGTTCATTCATTCGTCCAAGAGGAACTATCTATATGCGAACATTTTTGTTGACATGCTTTCGGAGTATCGCAGAAACTATTTGTGAACATATTACGCAACACACCAACGGCTAACATTTCATCATAAATACTGATACACCCCTTCAAAAGCCCTCAAACCATACACAATATTCATGGTGAAGCTATAAACGCAGAAAGGAAATTGGTTCTGCAGAACCTGTTGTAAATAATGACGAAGAACGGTCTGTCTAGTTCGAAATACAGCGGCCCTGGCAGTGAGCGGCGCGGCGGCTGAGCCGGTGCAGTAGTATCTTTCGCTGAGTCTTCACCCGTCTCGGAAACATTTATATACACCGTGTGAAAAATGTCATTTAAATACAGACCTTGCTGATCAGTGATGCCCTTGAAGTTGGCACCAGGAGCGAATATTTTACTGATTCTAAGTGCATGCATAGCAGGGTTTAAGCTGTTCTTTCCTTCGATGGTAAAAGTAGGCATTTTGACGAGAATGTTTTTAGACGCCTTTGACTCCAGTTGGACCATAACGTCTGTGACATTCAGGGTGTCCAGGCGAACTCTCAGAGCCGTCACCGCGTCCATCGTACGCTGAATCGGCCGCAGCAGCAGCATGCTGAAATTCCCGTCCGAGTACGGTAACGAGATGGCATCGAACGTCGCTTCCTTGATGTAAGGCAGGATGATATTATTCAGAGTCATCGCCTTCACTTGTTTCTCCCCAGCGGCCGTCAAAAAAGACATCTTCTGAGATGGCGTGAATGCTGTCTTCCATGGTGCTCTGAAGTAGAATGCACCGACTGTGAAGAAGCTGGCGCCCTGTATCTCCTCTTTAGAAACCACGCTGCTGATGCGTCCTCCGGTCATATTGGTCACATCTCGGTTGATCTCGCTGACCGCCTGTGCCGGTGAGGAGAAAGGTCGCTCCTTGGTCAGGTAGTACCTGGAGAGCACGCTGGAGAAGGCGGGTAGGACGGAGATGCGCTCGCTGACGTAGAGGCGGCTGTAGGCGGCGGCGGTGACGCTGCCAGAGGAGAGGGGGGAGAGGTAGCTGATGGCGGCGTGGTAGCGCAGCAGGAAGTCCTTGGGGTTCGGCGTGGTGAGACCCAGTGTCGGAGTGATCTGCGAAGGAAACAACGTCATATTGCTAGACAATAGGTATGCAGCACAACAAAGGCACACTCAAAGCATACAAAGCCGCGCATACTGAGTAGGCACCTAATAGCATTGCTATCAATTTAAGAAACACTTCTACCCTCACCTCGTTCCTTGTGATGCCGTCGGCGGCCAGCCACACCTGCGACATGGTCACGCTGATGACGAACGGCGAGATGGCCTGGTTCCGACGGAGATCGGCCGTCAGCTCCTTCAGCACCTTCAGGTCCATGCCGCTGGGGACCGGCCCGGGCCGCGACCCGGCCGACGAGTTCGTCCCGTTGGAGTTGCGGAAGGTGGCGGTGGTCACCTCCCAGTCGTTCCAGGGCAGGTCGTAGCTGAACGTGTCGGAAGCGTGGTTGGTGCTCCAGAGGTCATATTTGGACTTTTCGGGAGGAGCCGCTCCAGTGGTCACAGCGAAGAAAATCAATGCCCATGCTGGTCCTGAAATATGTCAGAGAGAACTTTCGAACATGCCACTTACTTCAATGCCTTATATTGTCAACAAACGTGGATTAAAATCAAAAATATTTTGCACAGTACCTATAGAACAAACGGAAAGCAAAGATAATATTCATTGGCACACCAAAATGCAAACATCAATGGCTTAAAGGGCACCACAAAGCTCGCTTACCTTTCATGTGAGACCTCATGATCATAATCAGCCTTCAGTGGCTGACGGTGGCCGACGTAATTTGGCACCCGCTATCGGCCACCAATGGAGCTATAAGGGCGCACTGTTGACAGTAACTGAGTACAGTACCCATACCGCGTCCAGTGAATGGTGGCCGTCACAGTACACGTCACTCGAGGGACGAACCGGGCTCTTCAGCCTGAATGTCGCCCATGTCACCACTGACATTCGACAACACGGCCCCGTTTACCTATCGGTCGCTGGGAGTGGGGCGGATGCATATTCCGCGAAACCAGGATTTATTGTCGGTTAAAAACAAAATATGGCAGCAGATATGATAAGTTTGGAGCTCGGATTAGCCAGATTAGTCGGATCAGAATTAGCCGGCCATTCTTGTCGCATAGGTATGTTACACAACGAGTCAATGTGAATCCTGTAAGCAGTGGTTGTTTCGAAACGGATCCAGTCACCCTTGCAGGCAGTGGAGAGAGCAGAATTAGTTGGTTTATCTGCAGCAAACGTTGCGAACAGGTCAGCTTTTCTTTCAGTGGCCCTTATATCGCTGGTCGAATACCCCTGCCTCAACGTTTCGAACAAGTCAGCCACCCCTGCAGCTGAGACTTAATCACTAGTCGGTTACCCCTGCAGCAGACGTTCCAGCCGGGTCGGCCGCCCCTGCAGCAGACGCCCCAGCCGGGTCGGCAACCCCTGCAGTCTGTTATGTGCCCACTGCCCACGAACCGCTGCGCAGCTCCGCCGGCGCCAGGCCGACCGGCGCCAACTCCCGGGCACCGCGCCGGTGGCATTCTCCGCCCCGGGCACTTTCACCTCTCATCGGTCCTGGCCGGGCCGGGCTGACCTTCGCGCTCTCAGCGGAAGATACGTGAGGCAGTTCGTCGCCCTTCTCCGGCGCGGTACGACGCGGCGTGGCGCGGCGGCCGGGATATACACCGGTGCAGCGCGCGCGTACGGCCCTGGCGCGCTGGCCGGGAGCCCAGAGGCAGGGCGGGGGTGTGTGGGAAGTGTTCAGTTCCGTGTGCGGTATCCGGGAGAGTTTCAGCGGCCCGGTCCCACACAGGCGGCAGGCTGGACGGCCAGTCTGGAGCCGCGATCCGACAGCACGGCACCGTTCTCAATGAGGTAAGACTTGAGCTTGGGCGTCTGTTGTGTGTGGAGGGCGCATGTATTTCGGTGGCGAGTAACACCCTATTAGTCCAATGTAATTGGCCGTAGGTTGCGTGCAATGCATGGGAGCTTTGTCGGAACATTGCCTTAATTTAGTATTGCATAGAGAACGAAAGAAGTAGCAAATGTCAACGCTAAAACATCTTATCATTTCAAAAACTGCGCTACACAGTTGTTGGGCATTAAACATGCATTTCATTTGCGAGATGTTAATCACGGAACAGTACTAGTGAGTGATGGATCAATGTGGTTTTGGCTGTTGACATGGGCAACAAACGATTAGGACCTGCGATGGTCCACGGCGCCCGCGTATCGATTGGCATTAGTTGCATGCGCTATCAATCATCGCAGGCATGGTATAAATGCGTCACGAGGCCTGGCAGGAATCGGTATTGCAAAAACGTAACGTTTAATTTTACAGGGTTGTGATAATGACGAATTAATGCAATTTTGTCATAATGTCAAGTATTGTTTCTTTGTCACGAAATGTTCCTCACTTCATGTTATTTCATTTCTTTAGTTTTGACAAAACGTGTGTCCGTGCAGAAAACGTCATCGTTTATTTATGTTGCAATTATGGGTATACAAAGGCCTCGTATTGCTTTTGGCGAAGTTTCGCAAGGCTATCACGTTCACAGAGCTGAAAAATGAAAAACATAAAAATGGCAACTTTTAAAGGTGACTTGCTTTAGTTGTTTCGACAATTTAAACGTGCCCAAAACTTCAGTATTTCGTGAAGCACGCGAAGTTGCCAAATTGGCGAAATTACGCTGCAAAAAGACATAAGTATTCCAAGCTCATCATAACCACTCTAGTATTTAGTCATGCGTAGTCATAAATGTAGTGTTGGTGTTGTCGTAACCAAGTAAACGTAAACTCATTACATACGTCGCTGCGTTCCCCACCCAGTCGCCCATTATCCTGAAGTGGCCCAGTGCATCACTTATGTCTAATTGGGTAAACAGCATTTGTGTTCCCCAGTGCTTCTGTCGCTAGGGCAACGACAGGTCATCGACGCTGCATTGTCCTTTCCGACGTGGCACATAACGCGATGTGCATACCTTGGTTACCGGGCTGTCTGTTTATTGTGCGACTGACTGACGGTGCGGCAGCTGGGATGCTAACTATATATATATGCAGGACCTTGGACGCTCCCACATTGGCGCCATAGCCACAAAGGTCCATACTTAGCACATACCTATATGCGATGAATACTGAATAGTTAGGTAGGTGCTGACCTGATCAAGGTCTTGATGCGCTTCCCGTAATGTGATGCATCCCATCCAGTATCCTTCAGAAAAGAGTCGGGCTGTAGGTATACCGCGTTCCGGAAAGAGCTTCTTATCGCGTGATTACGAAGCAATAAGACATATCAAGTTGATCGTAACTTATCAACACAGCAATCAATCTATAAAATATCGACTTACCCATTGACCATTTTATGTGCTCTGTCTCCAGTTTCCGGCGGTCGAGGTCAGCTCCCGGACTGACCACATGACTCGTGAACCAGTTCCCGAACTGGCCACGTGACCCGATGCACAGTGACGAGACCTGAGCAGGCGACCTCCGTCAGCCGGACCATGGCTCTGCGTACCGGCCGGGTGCTGAGGGTCTCCAGCCTGCTGACCCTGCTGACGGCAGCGCTGATGCTGCTCATGCTCATCTGGAGCAAGTCGCTGAACACGCTGCCGAAACGCTCCACTCAGGAAGGTTCGGACCGACAACGGCGAGCTATCGGCTGTAGGAGATCAACTATTCAACCATGCCAACGATTCACTGTTCAGCTTCTCCCCATAAGAACTCTTGGGCTCTCCCGCCGTTGTGCAGGGATAAACATCTAAAAGATATGTATTTCCAGAATCAGAGACCCCAGAACATATAATATCTTGCAAACCAGTCTCGCAGTTGCGAATTTCATCAGTTCAACTCTCGTGTGGCGACATCTATTCAGCGTTGGTTGCAGGAAAGTCTTATCAGAGGACGCGTCTTCTCCACCACTGGAAATGCATCGAATCGTGCGTCACTTCTTTGGCTCATCAAAACCCACCATTGTGTTTTTCGTCAGGCGAGTGCTTATTACACCTGCCCGACACTGCTCTCCCCCTCTGTCGCCAGCCCTGGTCAGCGGCGGTGTGCGGTGGTCGGTGCACGCCCCTGACACACGGCGGGCGGCCGTGTCGACCCGTCCCTTCCTCTCCACGAACGGCTCCGTCCCGACCGAGTACCGGCGCCGACAGCTGTCGTTGGCCGTGCAGCAGCTGCAGCGGCAGGTCGGCCAGCTGCGCCGCGAGGGCCGGTCGGCAGCGTTCACCGGCCGCCCAGTGGCAGCTGCCGACGCTCGCCAGCTGCTGCTGCTCTCCAGCTGGCGCAGCGGCAGCTCATTCGTCGGGAAGCTGCTGGCCTCGCAGCCACTCGCCTTCTACCTGTTCGAGCCGCTCAAGTGGCTGGCCAGCGGCGGCAGTCAGATGCCGCCCGAGCGGCGGGCTCAGGCGCTGCGTGACGCGCTGCGCTGTAACTTCAGCTCGCTCTCGCAGCCCGGCGCTCTGATGTTCACTGTCCGCAGTCCTGTGACGGACGCCGTCTGTGCGCGCCTGCCCGATGGCTGTCGCAGCCGCGAGCTGCTGGAGCAGATCTGCGCCCTCCACCCGGTCCGGGTCCTCAAGACAGTCCGCGCGCGCGTCCACTACTTGGAAGAGCTGGTGCGGTCCTCCCCGCGTCTGACGCTGGTTCTGTTGGTGCGGGACCCACGCGCGGTGGTGCACTCTCGGCGGCACAGCGCCTGGTGTCGGCGCAAGTGCGGCTCTGTGCCGCTGCTCTGTCAGTGGATGTCGGAGTCGCTCCGGGGGGCGGCGCAGCTGGAGCGGCAGCTGCCCGGTCGGGTGGTGACGACGCGGTACGAGGACCTCACTCTGGACGTGTCCGGGGGCGCGCGCAGGCTGTTCAACTCCCTCCAGATACCTCTGACGACTCGCGCCGTCCAGTTCCTCATGGAGCACACCGGTCAGCCGCAGCAGGTGGCCGGCGAGCTGCTGGGGACACAGCCTCGGCACCTTCCACTGCAGGCCATCAGCCAGAGCCGGCTGCAGAAGGAGCGTCGCAACCAGTACAGCACGTTCAGGAACAGCAGCGCGGCCGCGCAGGACTGGCGGAGGACGATGGCCTACCAGCGGGTGACGGCCGTGCAGACCGAGTGTACCGAGGCGCTGAGGCTGATCGGGTACAGGGTATTCAGCAGCCAGTCGGAGCTCAGGAACCTCGGCGTGACGCTGGAGACGGCGGCGTGACCGCGGCTATGCGGCGAGATAAGGGTCGCAGAGATGGGAGCTTACAGACGGTGGAATGTGGATGCTTTTAATGGTCGCCATACCTCGTGAACCATCAATCCCTCTCTGTGAGAGACAAATTGCATGCATGCATTTGATCATGCACGTTTACCCATATTTTGTCTAAGACGTTTGAATAGTGATCTATGCGCTACTCTAATAACGAGAGATACCCGAGGCAGGTTTCGTTTGCTTTTTTTGTCCTGAATTTTTCTATGAACGGTCCGCTTTCGGCCCGTTTACTGTCGACGGCACACATATGCGTACTATTTGTCAGCTCCATTGTCATCCATTCACTTTTAGTTATTTTTAACCATTTCCCATATTATGGTACATCGAAATACTCAGTAGGTACTCAGTAGATCCACTGAAAACCTACAGATTTTTCTAACTGTAGTGCCTTCATTCTCATGAGCCGACAACCCTGCGTCATGAATGAGATATTACTTTCTCATCCATGCCTGCACTATATTCTCAGTGAGAATAAGACGGTATATTTAGTGTAGGTATGTAGGTAGGTACCTACTATAAAAAGGATAGTGTGTAGGTCCGGAGATTTTCAAATTTAACTTCAAAGCCTGTGATTTTTACTCTTTGTGATTTTGTTTTTTACTTTTACACCATGAGGTGCACATTGAATGCGTCAACCTTTGATTTTAAATAAACGTTAACGTTTGTTATGTTAATTGTATGGCTTCCGTTTATTGAAGTGAAGGAGCTTGATGAATGGAGTTGCCCATCCAATGAATGTATCGATCAGTTGATTTTTTGTATAAAAGAATGCCTAGTTACATCATTCAAACAAAACAAACTCATTCAATCTAAGATTCATACATATTGCACAATCACATGTGCGACTGCATGGCTATTTGTTACAAAGCACTAGCACTTAGCACCGAGCGCGGCAGGCCCTTACCTCCATCAC